TTTTTTTTTTTTTTTTTTTGGTACAATTTTTCAATCAGTTCAATGTTCAGTTTCAAGAAATTAGACTTTCATCACAAGCTGAATTAGGAAATCCCAGACAGCAAGAAAAAATAGTGTCAAGATCAAGTTTTTACTAAACAAATTGCTGTTTATAAAGGTTTATGCATGAATCACTATCAATAGTTTCTGAGTCAAAGAAGTTGTTTATTTGTGAAAATGATCCCACATTTTTCCTGCTTTAATTCTTTTGAAATAGAAAAACAAAAATGAAATAGTCTATAAAAATTGACAGCTCTGATCTTTGATTTATTTTATATAAGTTTTCATATCAGGTTTACAAAGTACAGCATCTTATTAAATCTTGTAATTATCATAAATCATTATTTAATGCTGAAAACCTGTCATGTCTTTACAACAGGAGAAAATAAAATGCAAAATAAATCCTTTATACCAGAGGTTCTCAAACTTGGGTACCTGGACCCCCAGGGGTCCGCGAGAGGCATCTTGGGGGTCCTCAAACATTTTTACTAAAACATTAATTTGTTTTTAAAAATGCATGGAGAACAATGAACTAATAAAACAAACAGAATAAACTTAATAAAAATATATATTCCCAGGGCATTTAGGGGTTGAAATGACAATAAATTATCTTTAAAACAGCACTTGGTTTATGAGGGGGTCCCTGGAATTTTTTTCGCCCTTGTAAGGGGTCCGCAGACCCGAGAGGCTTGAGAAGCCCTGCTTTATACACAGAGGAAATGAAATGAATCAATGATACGTTGTTTATRTTGACAGCCTGCCCCTTCCAATATGGCGTCACATTTAGAGCACAGTAAATCCTGTGAAGTGGGCCTCTGTTCTACATCTATGTCTGGTTTTAACAGCAGCTTTGATCCAGATCAGGTTCTGTCAGATGGAATCATTTACAGAAATATGAACCCAGCAGTGGAGAAAGAACAGTCCTGTACAGAGAGGGTATAATAAAGAACATCCTCTGTGACTGGGAAACTCACATTTACATGTAAACTGGGGAATCTGCATGAAACGCTCCTTCTACACCACACAGACTGAGGCCCAGGAAGTCCACTTGGTGGGTCAGTGTTTCCTCAGGGTGGTCCCAGATGGTGGTGGTAGTTTTCAGGAATGGTCTGAAACTCTTCAGCAGAGGGAGTCAGGAGTTGGAAGGAGACACGAGAGCAAATATTTAACAGGTCTTATCTTAAAGAAACAAACAGTGCTGAACTTGTAGACAAACACGTGATTTAAGCTTCGAAATACGAACAGACACGAAACTAACGAGGGCAAAGATGAATGAAAACTTCTGGCTAAGTGAAAAACCAGGGACTTTCTAGTTATCATCAAGTGAGAAGGTGTCAGATTACCAGTCAGATTACCAGTCAGAGTACCAGTCAGATTACCAGTAAGATTACCAGTCAGAGTACCAGTAAGATTACCAGTTAGAGTACCAGTCAGATTACCAGTAAGATTACCAGTCAGATTACCAGTAAGATTACCAG